CCGGGACAGTCTACAAAAGGCCAGAAGTGTCCTGTCATTAGCAACTTTTAAATATATCTATCATAATTTCATCCTAAGATATTAATTATTTCTTGACATTTATTCTAAAATTATGAAGTGAGAAATACTAGAAATTTCGATTGTGACAAATGAATGTTCTTGCCAGTTATGATTTTCCTTTCTGTTAAATTATAGGACGAGATACTAAGTGGAATAAACCTATGTTAAAGAAACCTCATATTCACGCGCAGTGGGGGACAAGTGTGCCGCTGTTTGTCGTCTCATATGATGGAGTCAGGCTGGGTTTAATTTGTTCGGAGCACTGCCAGCAGGTTTCACTAAATTTGCTACCAGCAGTAATAATAATAATAATAATAATAATAATAATAATAATAATACGTGTTTGTGTTCTATTTCAGTATTGGCCAGGATGGTTTGCAGCAGTCGTGTCCATGACCTTGACAGAATTATGTCTGATATATTTTTAAAACCTTCATTCTATAAGCTAAAGAGAGAAGGAGAGAAAAACATTCGAAAACTCTCAGTCTCAGTCCTCGTGACACAAGCCTGGAACAACGAGGGCAAACAAATTTCCTGACTGCCAAATAAAATAAATTGGAGACAAGGCCAGGTTACTTTGCCAACAAACTTCAGTGTTTTACTTCTATCTTAAAAGAAGTATATCTCCGCTAGTAGTAAAAGATAAAAGGATTACCAACTGAATTAATGTCATCCAGTCTTTAAATATTTCTAAAGTTACTAACGTCGATTCCTGAGGACGTCAGTATATGGTGCGAGTTATTTTGGGGTCTTTAGTGGACCACCCACACATGCACACACTGGTGGCTGCCTAATTAGTTCTACCTTAACAGGAAGCAAGGCCAAACGCAAAGAGCATAAGAAAGTGTCTTAGTGCCCTCCCGTTATTAACAATCCAAATTCGATTCCTAGCAATGAACGTCTGAATTGAATGATTAGTAGGATACTGTGTTCCACGATGTGTCGCAGTGTATTTCCGTAGATACGTATCAAGGATTAGGAGGAACCTGCTACTTTCATCTTCAGGAACTCTTTAACCATGAAGATGGAAACAGGAAGTTCGCCCGAAACGTTGTTAACTAACAACCAAACTGCATGGTGTCCAATCTCCGAATACAGTAATGTTAATATTTAGCATCACAAGAATCTTAAATCCCACACAGAGCTATGGTATTCCTGTATAATATTAATAAGATCCTAGGTTCGAGTATTGGTGAGGATGCAGGCTATCCTAAGGTCTTTGTAGTTTTCCTCTGTCGCTGGAGGCAAATGCACGGAACATCGGAATTGAGTGAGTAGCGTCCCTGCTTCGTGCTCGGAGTTATCTACCTTCCCTTAATGCAAAATGAGGAGTTTTTACTGCATCTGCAACAGCGTGTCTGAGACCATCCTCTGAATCAGTTCGTTCCAATCCATTCCATCACGCCACTTTGCTCTGTAAGATCCATTTATAATATTGCTCTGCAGAATCCACTCTTTCCTTCCAGTTGTCCGGCTACACCACGCGTGCTCAATATTCCTTGCACTTCAGCCTCCTGGATTTATTCAGTCTAAGAGCGTTCAGCGTAGAATATAAATTATGAATGTCCTCACTATATACTATAACTTACTTTCTTCCAAATCAAAATACAGCAAATTTCTGGAGAGTGGGAGAAATTAAGGTCCATAACCACACAAAAGCCGGTCACGGTAGCCGAGCGTTCTAAGGCATGTACTGTCTTCGGTCGCTTAGAAATCGGGATCGTGGGTTCGAATCCTACTCAGAGCATGGATGTTTAGTTTGGGTACAGGTAGAGGCTTTGCGACGAGCTGATCACCCGCCCAAGGAGTCCCACCGAATGTGTAAGATCTAAAAAAGCCGAAGTGAACGGAGAAGTTCATGGAGGTAGGCCTAGGCCTACAAATTTTGCGGCTCCTCAAAAAGGGCTCAGTTCCATGTGTAAGTAACCACACAAAATGGAGGATAATATTTAGGCTGCGTGAGATTTCAAGTCCTCAAGGAGATAACTGCTCTTGCAGCATGAGATGCGACGTAGTTCCGAGCAATGTACTTCATGTTCTGGGTAACCACCCACCGAAGCCCCCACATTTGGAAAATAGGTTGCCGGCGATTGCTTCTTCAGCATACTCACACGCCATATTTGTAATTCCTCGCCTCTGTGAACACCTTCACGACGCCCTACGCTGTCACCTGTCCTCACATGTCAGACAAGTATTCTTGAGAGCTTCTGAGCGGAAATGATTGCGTTAGTCAGTGTCTCAATACCTGCTCTATGATGGCAAGTTTAACTCGATTCCAGGAGGTTTGCGATCCGTTTCTTAAGGTGAAAATGTACTATTGGTTATTGCTCGCATTTAATTCATGTGAGTAATGAGAGATTATATCTATATAGGTGACGACTGTTCCCGCTACTATTCATAATTATCTTGGCGTCTTGTATCGATATTATAATCTAGCCTTAATTTACAGTAAATGAGTAATATATGATTCAATAAACGTAAATGCATTTAATACAGAGGCGCAAGCGCGCTCGCTTGTATAAATACACGTTAACAACCTAAGCGTTTCCTGGCTGCTTTCTCTCATTTTCCTCTTCCGTACGTCTCAGCTAGGTGTACACATCCATGTGCTCTGCACATTTGCAAATACTGACTGAAGACAAACTCCATGTCCTGTAGTCCGCAAGCGAACTACACCGACAAAGTCACCATCTCTTTTCGGCGAAGTTAGTGCCAGCTTTTGCGGAAAGAGGGTGTCACGTGGTCAACGCAAAGGATCCCCACGGCCGTTAATCTCGGGTTTCTATACCGGAGTCGCTATTTTTTTGAAATAGCTCCTCAATTATCCTCACGAGGCTGAGTGGAAACCTTTCCAGACACACTACTTCTCAGAAGAAATCTCGTAGCTCCGGGAATCGAACCCGGACCTCTGGATCTGTAGCCAGGAACTCTGACCACTAGACCACATAGGCGTCATACTGATTTAAGACATGCTTCTTAGTTATTTGCAAATATTGCGGTGAGGTTTTGGATGGAGTTCGAATCCTCATTTTCGGCGTTCTTTATTTACACGGCTATATTTCAATTTTTGTTGTGTCTTTCGTTTAAACTCCACCAGCCACTAGTATAGCCATATGGTAAACAAGGATAATCCGTGCATATAACGGGGTATTTTCTTTGTTACATGTATAGCCAATTAATTTGAAAATTCAATATACAGTACGTGTTTCTTACGCAACGAAATAGGTCTAGCGAAATATGGAATACGTCATGTTTCACTCTTAAACAACGAAGAGTGAAAAACAGCCTACCTTAACTTCTGATTCTTCATATAGAACGCTAGAAAGACAATTATGTAAGCAGGGCATATAAACCTCTAAACAGTTAGCTCTCTCATTCATCTTCCGTAATATCATCTGAGAGAATATTTTTCAAAGTATACTGGTATTATTACAAAATATTACAAAGGAAAGCAAGGAACATAGACTGAGGGTGTTTGAGAACACGGTGTTGAGAGAATATTTGGACCGAAGAGGGATGAAGTGACAGGAGGTTGGAGAAAACTGCATAATGAGGAGCTTCATAACTTTTACTCTTCTCCAAGTATAATTAAAATAATCAAATCAAGGAGGATGAGGTGGGCAGGGCATATAGCACTAATGGGGGAGACGAGGAATGCATATAGAATATTGGTAGGAAAGTCAGAAGGAAAGAGACCACTGGGAAGACAAAGGTGTAGGTGGGTGGATAATATTAAAATGGGAGAAAGCAGTCTTCTGGGATTTGGCACCGTGTATATGTGGTGTTAACCGACGTTTCGGAGGAACGTATCGCCCCCATCTTCAGGGTTGAAGAAGTATAAGTAAATCTGCAAGCGACAACACCGTGAGACACGGTCAA